TCCCACATGCCATAGAACCCGAACTGTGTTCGATCGTGTTCGATCTGGGCAATTTGAATCGAACCCGCGTTCTATTTCGGGGTCACCTGCGGTCATTTACAATAAAGCGGCAAAACAAGCCTGTCTGCCTCCGTGCCGTGCAACAGATAAAAAACAACACTTTTCTATAGATAAAAACAGTTTCCTGGACAGTACATGTCCGCTATCATTTTTTTGTGGACATGTAACATGTAGCGAAGCTACTGTCGTAACCTTGGGTGACCTTGAATACTGTAATGATTCTTTACACCAGTATGAATAACACAATGCAGACTTTTGGTCGACATGACATGTCTGCAAAACTCGTTTTAACCTGCAAGCATGGAAAGTCAAGCATACCCCATTCACGGCTCAAAATGACCGTTATGGTTGTCCCGAAAATCGTGTTTTAGGGATTTTTAAAAAATGGCTTCAATTTTGATTATGGGTAATTTAGTGCGAAAATGTAAAGAAAAATCATTTTTTCACCAATATGTCGACAAAAACTAGACTTAAAATCAGAAATTAAAAAATCCCTAAAACACGATTTTTGATCTTATTCCTAGTCGTCGAAAAACATAAAAATCGGGAATCTGGGGTAATATACGTAGCCAGGTTAAAACGATGTTTGCCTAAAAACACGACATGACTTGTGGTCGGAAATCCGAAAAAAATCGTCTTTCGGAGCGAAATTTTGAAAAATCAATGATTTAACATAAACAGCTAATATTGAAAGGGTGTTACGGCAACAATTTCATTTTAATTTGACGAAATTTACCATTAAATCCTTTTTGTTTATTTTCAGGTGTTTTACTGGTAGGCCAAACTCGGCCCAAATAGCGTCTTGTAATCCGATACCTTTTAGAACGCGCCTAGCAATGGGAAAGAATACCGTAGTGACAGACCGCCGTGATAAGGATCCATCCGCAGCTACTGAAAGACCACGTAACGTCGATCTTTACGTACTCGTATAAGACGTGTATAGATGCGTAAAGACGGAATATACGTTGACTTTAAGCATAGTTTAAGCATCCGTAAATACCGTTTTTCGTGCCGTGATAGTAGCAAATCTAGACTGAACCTAAACTCTTTCTTCTATCGAGCTACTTCTGATAAACAAATTAGCGGAAAAAAAAAATTAAAATAGGGAAATATATGAATTGCTATATGGAAAAACTGTTCTCCTTAAATAAGAGTAATGCGAATTATTGCTTGCCTATGGTGTAAAATTGTACAGTTACTGTGCAATGCTATATATCTAACGCTTACGTGCTTTGAAAATTGCGCTTTTCCCCTTTGCATCTGCCTAGTTTTCATTGATGTGTTAAAGTAACCGACATCCAACCACCCAACTTATACTCATCACAAGGAAAAAATATAAGATCAATTTACTTTGCCACAGACAAAGACATCGTCAATGTCGCAAGTAGATGGAAGGGAGGCTGGATTCCCGGAAGGTCCATCTTCTTTGCTGTCAGGTCTGAACTGTTCACACTCCGAGCGTTGAAAAATGAAGAGTCCCAGGCAACTCGCCAAGACGAATCCAAGTTGACAGGTACGATTCCTGTGGTCCATTCTCCTCCTTCGATTGAGTTACCTGTGAGTCCTCCTTTCCGTATTAGTGGAATAACGATGCCCGGATTTTCATTGGATTTACCCTGCGGTCTATCGTTTATACTTACGGATGATTCCAATGCCTGGATCTTTCTGTGTGTCTCCAGGATGTGGGTAGCACCGATAAGATGAGGAGGCCCAATGAACTCCCGATACTCCTGGGGTGTTCGCTGATAGACCCTTACTCCTGCCGTGACTTGTTCGGCCCACTCTATCTCTTGTCGTGTAGGGGTATAGAGCTGGTTTACAAAAGGCACCAGCAATGGATGCACAATAATCATTCCTGTGTGTGGAAAAGTAGACATAAAGCTTATCGATCAATGGGTGGAATCATACTTGATACTCCATTGATTAAGACATCCATTGATGTAGTTAAGATATCCAGCTAATGATGTTGTCCGCCATCCAAATTTTAATCTATGTCGTGAAATTATTTTAAACAATTACATGATATAACACAAGATATTAATAATGTTAGAAAGTGTTTGCAATCCAACATGAAAACCTGCAACTTTGTTAACCCTAGACCTAGACCGGGCTTTTTTTTTTGGGGGGGGCTTGGTGGGGCGGGGGAAGAGGCTCATTCGGCTCCACCTCTCAAAACTCGCGAACGGTATGTTGTACTATCACATTTTAGAACAATTTTGATGTCGTTATGACGTAATATGACGTCATTATGACGTCATTAGTGTGATTTTATTGGCCCAAACCGTATAGATATGCTATTCCCTTAAAACCCAATGGTTTACAACGTAACTGAAAAAAGGTTTTTATAATAGAATAAGAAGGGCATACTAAGACTTAAGTTGCTTATAGCAACACCAGTGACGTCATAGAATGACGTCATGCATATTTAATCTATCCGCCATCTTGGATCATCAATCTTGCATTTTGAAAAAAAAAAGTGTTTTTTTTTTAGATAAAGGCTAGAATACATTGAAACACACACACACACACACACACACACACACACATACACAAAAAATGTACTTTAAGTTTCCAGAATACCATCATATCCAAGAGTTTTTCCACTTGTAACGTCACTTTCCAGACGGGGAAAGTTGTCGATGTAGGTCACGGCGTCGATCGCTGCTATTCCGGCCGTTTTCGCGGCGTGCAGAATCTGGAGTTGAAAAGCATTTCCGATGGGACTGGTCAGGGGAGGTCTCTGGAAACCAGCAGCGATGTCCGCCCTCCCATTTATAAGTGCCGACATTCGAGGGGATGCCTGTAAGGGTACATGGTGTTTGAAATCTCTCAATAATGTAGACTTCAAACTCTTTGTAGTAAGCTATTCCTGCAAGTGTGGTTGAATGATTCGCAATTCAAGAGTACTCGACGTAGAACCCAAAAAAATAGGCTAAAGGATACTAGTATTACAAACACTGAAATAATCACAGAATTCTATCCTTAAGTATGCAATTCACCAAATAACGAAAATACGTTTTTCCTTTCTACACTTATCCGGTTTAAAAGATTTTGCGAGAAAGTCGCCTGCAGTTCGAGAACAAGCTGGTAGGGCGACAAAACCCGCACTACTTTTTTCTTTCAGGAAAAGCTGTCTGTCACCAAAATCCAAGACCATAGCATGTTTAAAACAAACGATACAAAAACCGGACGTTCTGGTGCAGTACCACGTTCAGCTACCAGGAGGCCCATATTTGACCTTAACCTTTGTCTTTCTACGACCTACCACCATACCAAATATCATGATCACAATCCATAAAAGCTTTCGGAAGTTATGCTGACTACAAATGTGAGGAACCACAAACACGCATACACAGAAAGAGAGAGAGAGAGAGAGAGAGGGAGGGACACCAAAAACCATACCTCCATTTATTACGAAGGTAGTTACATAGCAATTACCTTTGCAATGTCTGGTGCGTGCGAAACTGCTTCCAATGTCTCCGCTATGGCCATGATCTTGCAGGGACCGGCAATCAGGTTTTTCTTCTTTTCTACCTCTGACAGGACTTCATCGACTTTCCTGATGTCATTAGGAGAAGTGACTTTGGGTGCGATAAAGCCCGTCAGGTCAGGATGGCAGATGGCGCTGGCCTCCCTTCTGATGACGTCGTCCGTGATGTCACTGAACCGCACGTACACAGTCTGACCGCGGAACATCCTGCTCTTCAGCGCCTCAGCGTAGAGCTTCAGGGCAGACTCTTTCTCATCTTTCGGTACCCCGTCTTCCAGATCTAGGACGTAGACGTCGGCCCTGGCCTCCCTAAATCGTTGAAGACTTTCGGGAGAATTCTTCAGAACAAGTATAGACCTCATGAGAGGGGAGGCTACCGATGACCGTCCTCTGCTCAAGGGCCGCCAGGCGCTAGGCGATGTTGCCGTCAGCATTATGTTTCGGACACAATTCTGCCGCATCAATCTTGAAATTAACGCCATGATGGTACAACTGTGGAAAGCAAGACGAGGACAAGTCAGCGAAAGTCAAGGCAACGTTGATACAAATAAGTCGGTGCCATTTGCATCAATGATATGAATCTTTATTGCATGTTCTTGCCCAGATGGGCTAAATGCACAAGAGGGTATGCAGTATGCAAAAACATGATCATTTCATACTGGTACGCTATATTCTAATGCAAAGTGCTAAGAATCTATACAATACAACAATACTATATACTACCTATCATCTACTGTTAATTGTCCTTTCTTCTCTCTTTTTGAAACATTTGGAAACATAATTACATAGTTTGTCTACTGGACGTACATTCGTTCTTGCATGATATCAAGTGTTTAAACATGTCTTGCTTTGACATTTTCTTACATATCTTGTCTAATTGTAAAGTATCGAATAGCTCTTGGCGTTCATCTTTATATAATGTATAAAGATAAACGCCAAGAGCTATTCGATTACAATTAGACAAGATATGTAAGAAAATGTCAAAGCAGGACATGTTTTTCAATGTTTTTCAATCGTAAGTCAATTATATAGAATTCTTTTAAGTAAATTGTATCTTATCTAGGGGAGGGCGACTATTGCCAATTCATGGAAACAAGAAAGCTTAAAAAAGCTGACATTTCGGGGATAATTTTAAATGATGGAACACAGTGTCAATTGAAGCAAACTTTCTTTAAATTAAAACTTAAAGTTGATTAACTATGTGCAGCAACACAAGCTTCCTATGACATGATCATATGTACTTTTTTTTATATCTAAGACAATAGAGCTGAGTCAGAGAACAGTATTGCTGTGTAAGCTTATCGTCAATTAAAATAAACTCAAAATCAACTCAAATTCAAACTTGTCTTGTTTGGTTTATTGTGTCTATAAATGTAGCGAAGACAAACCAGAGTTTATTTAAATTTTCTCTCCACTTTTCTTTTATTCCACCTTTACTTGTACTGTGTAGACTACAGCAAGTGCACGTGGTCCCTGTAAAGTGTGCATCCGGCACACTGCAGTACTACTGCATGTATTACAATTCACAAATATTTACTAGAGACAAAAAGGACAAAAAGGTCTACATAAAAAAAAAAAAATTTCTTTCCTTCCACTTGTTATGTTTAGGCTACAGCAAGTAGTCTCTGTAAAGTGTGCATCCGGCACACTGCAATACCACTGCATGTATTCCGCAAATATATTCACACATATTTACTAGAGACGAAAAGGTTTCATAAAAAAAACGTTTATTTCCTTTCACTTGTAATGTGTGGGCTACATCAAGTGGCACACTGTAAAGTTTGCATCCGGCACACTGCAGTAATACGGTGTAGTTGCAAGAGGGCGCTGTGACACTGCTACTACGTTTTTTTTTGTTCTACGTATTACCAACGTTTGTATGACGCAACTCTAACAAATTTTACAAAACTACATTATTTCCTAGTTAGTGGATGCCAACAACAACAAGAATGTAACGTGAGAAATTAATGAATGTTTAATTTTATGCAACCAAATGTGAAATCATTTTGTGGCTTAGCCCACAAACAGTAGTACACGCAATAATGGGAGGTTTAAAACGTTGTCAGGACTAGAGGTATGAACGAAATCGAATTAGTATAAACGTGTTAACACCCAGCCGTGACAAATTTGGTCATTGTGGAAGGCCTAGAAGGCAGGCACGCATAGCAGGGTTAATAGTCCTACCATCCAGGCAACCATGCCCACGGTTGCGAAATGTAAAAAAAAAAATCTTTTCAAAATTAAGGAAAGACGCATACCTTAGAAACGTGTCTTTGTCTGGTCTTCTTTCAAAGTTAACAATATAATTATGCTACGAGAGGTACGAGTGCCATTTTTACATTAATAATCTCCTCAATTTAAGGTTTTGTTAACAATTTAAAAGAGAAATACTTTTTGGGTAGACATGGGAAGGTCTTTAGCTGCAATAATTTTTTGGTGATTTGAGATGTGGTCAAAACAGTTAACTCAGGTCCATACAAAAGCATAGGTATTTTTTTCAGATTTTGTACCCA